TGGAGGACCCTGATGGAGGCCCCTGATGGAGGCCCCTGGAGGACCCTGATGGAGGACCCTGATGGAGGCCCCTGATGGAGGCCCCTGGAGGACCCTGATCGAGGCCCCTGATGGAAGACCCTGACTGGGGCGCATGAGAGAGGCCCCTGATGGAAGACCCCTGATGGAGGCCCCCGACAGAGACCCCTGATGGAGGCCCCTGATGGAGGCCTGTCAGCTCTGAGAGGATTATTGCAGCAATAACTGTTTTATTTTTATCACGGCTGTTTAGGAGCGATTATTGCAACAAACTGCAACAAATAGATAAATAAATAGACAAACAAACAAACGAAACGAAATAAATAAATAAATAATAGGAAATGATGTAGAATATTTATCCTTGTGGTTTATCTTCCAGGAAACAGATCATCCATAAATAAACGTTTATTTATTTACTTATTTATTTCTTGTTGCAACAAACAACATTTAACAAAACGTAAATTTTTCTACTTTTTGAGTTAAATTTTTTAGCATAAAATTGTGAAACTGTTGAACTACCATTAAATAAATTGCTACTCTTTAAATTTGTATTGATTTATATTTTATTTTATTTATTTATTTATTGTGGCACAAGTTCTGCAGGTTGTAGACCCCTGATGTTTTTTGTTTGTTTGTTTGATTTACAGCTGAAAAAAACAAATAATTCCATTATTTGAACCCACACGAGGAGAAAGACAAAAATTAAACTGATGTAAAATAAAGGAGGTTCGGTCCAACATCTGGTTCAGTCTAACATCTGGGTCCTACAGCTGGGCTCGGTCTAGTATCTGGGGTCTGCAGGGTTTGGATCAGGTTCTGTAGTTCATCGTGTTCTGGTTCTGTTTCAAACAGGAAGTGGCTCAGAAATAAAAACTGAGGAATTATTTTTCTAACTTGTTAATCTTTGAAATGTTTATTAAAATTATTTTAAGGCTGAGCATGCAGGGTGATGACGTCATCTTATTATTATTTTTAAATAACAACCCAAACAGAAAATAAAGATTTTCATATATTTCAAAACCCTAATCAGATATGAATTATAAATAAATAATTATATATATATATTATGAATAATAATTTATTCATTTCTATGATGGTTTGCGACAGAAACTGAGTCCTGAAGAGGAGGAGGAGGAGGAGGAGGAGGAGGAGGAGGAGGAGGAGGAGGAGGAGGTTATTAAAGATATTAAGTTGATCATTTTAGGTCAGTCATTTATAAAAACATTTGAATGGGATTGATTTTGTTTCTTGTTTCTTGATTTATTGATTCTGTGTTCCTGTCGTGTCATTAAATATTAAAGATGTTTTTTGCTCGGAGCTGATGTCGCTGTCCGCGGTGCTGAAGCCGGTTCTGCCCAACTTTTTATTTTATTTATTTATTTATTTTGGTTCTGCCGAACTTTT